CCTTCCTTCCTTCCTTCCTTCCTTCCTTCCTTCCTTCCTTCCTTCCTTCCTTCCTCTCCCCTTCTCTCTCTCTCTCATTCTCATTCTCTCCTCCCCCCCATTCCCTCTCTCCCTCCCCTTCCAGGTATCCAACTGGTTTGGCAACAAGAGAATCAGGTACAAGAAAAACATCGGGAAGTTTCAAGAGGAAGCCAACCTTTACGCTGCCAAAACGGCCGTGACAGCAGCTCACGCCGTAGCCGCTGCAGTTCAAAACAACCAGACCAATTCGCCCACCACCCCAAACTCTGGTGAGTCTCTGCCTTTTATTTTCTTTTTCTTTTTTTCAAATGGCATTTGGAGGAAGAGGTGGGGGGGGGGAGAAAAAAGACCAACCCGGAAGGCAGGGAGGAAAGGGAGGCTGCCCTTCTCCCTAGGCCACTTAGAGTCAAGCCAGGGTTTGTCCTCAAAGATGGAAGCATCCAAGGGCAGAGCAATTGGCGAGAAGCCTTCTTCAAAAATGGCCAGACTGGAACTCTGCCATCTGCAGCCAGGGGTGATGCTGTCGTTCGGGAGGGAACCAACCCAGGAAAACAACCAACCACGACAAAAGGTTTTGTTGTTGTTGTTGTTGTTCTTTCTGGCCCACTTGCCATGGTCTCTGGGAGTTCGAACCCCAGAGAATGGGACAATCTGCTTCTACCTTCTCCACGGCATCCTGGAGCTCCCCAATGGTCCTCGATAGCTGGAGCAGGTTCTTCAAGCCAACCAGGGTTTTTGTTGTTGTTGTTGTTTTTTGGCTCCTCTCCTCTTCCTCTGCGTTGGTTGCCCGGGACAGGAGAACGGAGCTGAAAAGCAGGTCAGTGGGGTGGGGAGGGAAGGGGGATTTTGCAGTATATCGTTCCCCCGCCACGCCCACCAAGCCACGCCCGCAGAACCGGTAGTGAAAAAAGAAAAATTGGAATCCGGCCACCGGCCCTCTGCCCGCCTGCATTCTTTGCTGCCCTCTCCTCGATTCCGCTCCGCTAACTCTTTCGTTTTCCAGGTACTTCCGGTTCTTTTAACCTTCCTAATTCTGGGGACATGTTCATGAACATGCAGAATCTGAATGGGGAGAGTTACCAGGGGTCTCAAGTTGGAGCCAATGTGCAATCACAGGTAGGAGACAACAAAACAAAACAAAAAAAAGTAGGGGGATAAAAAAACAACAACCCCCCCACCCGCCCAAAAAAACAACCCAACATCCCGCTAAATTAGGGCGTAGGTAGCAGGGTCTGGTTCGGGCTTGATTTTAAAAAAGGGAGAAACAAAAACAAAACAAAACAAATAGAAGGGGAAGCGAACCCAGGAACAAATCCAACCGCCAATTTTCACGTTCCAGCCGGTTCACACCTCCAGGCACGATTCGGCTCGCCTCTGGTCTTTGGCCTACAACCAAAGCCGACATTGGATCTTTCGAAGCACCAGGGGTTTCTTTGTCCCGGTGAAAAGCTGGATGCCTCCCCCCCAAATGTTCTTCCCCACCTCCCATCTGAAAGTTTTACAAAACTTTGTGAATGCAGTTCGGCTCTGGCTTGGCCTGGTGGCCTGGGGTTGGGTGTGTGGTTTGTTTGGCTGTGGGTCTGAAAGTTGTCATTGGTCTGGTTTCGGTGGGGCCTTTGCCCTCGGCTGCTGTTGTGTTGATGTGAGGTTTTCGTTTCTGCAAAGCAGAGCGGTTTCCCCTATAAATGCTATTTTCTCCCTCCTTCTCCTCCTCCTTCTCCTCTTCTATCATCATCATCTTCTTTCTCCTCCTTTACTTTTCCTCTTCCTCTTCTTCCTCTTCTTCTTCTTTCTCCCTCCTTCTCCTCCTCCTCTATCATCATCTTCTTCTTTCTCCTTTATTTTTCCTCTTCCTCTTCTTCCTCTTTCTCCCTCCTCCTCCTTCTCCTCTTCTTCTTTCTCCCTCCTCCTCCTCTATCATCATCATCTTCTTCTTTCTCCTTCTTTACTTCTCCTCCTCCTCTTCTTCTTCTTCTTTCTCCCTCCTCCTCCTCCTCCTCTATCATCATCATCATCATCTTCTTTCCCCTCCTTTACTTCTCCTGCTCCTCCTCCTCCTCCTCCCTGTCCTTTTCGACTTACACTCACCTGGGCTGCAGATGTGTCAAAACAACACACTGTGCAAACTCATTCTTACCAACAACTTGGCTAGGCAAGAACTGTTCGGCCGGAGTGGTTTATTAGTAGAAACCCAAGACGGGAAGTGAAGATGCTAGTCCTGTGGGTCCCCGTCGTTCTTTCTCCAGGAACGCTCTCGAGAAAGACACCACTCTTCCCCCTTTCCGTCCTCCCGCCTCAAAAATAGCTCTGCATTGTTAACTCGCCGTGTGCAAGAAGTTCATTTGCGGGCAAGTCAACACGCTCTCCTCCCTTGTGTTTTCTGCTGCAGGTGGATACTCTGCGTCATGTTATCAATCAGACGGGAGGATACAGTGACGGTTTGGGAGGAAATTCATTGTACAGTCCACATAATTTAAATGTGAGTTCCATTGATGGGGTGGCGTCCTTTGGGTCAGGGCTGGGCTGAGTCACCACATGCTCTCTCGCTTCCTTCTGGCCATGGAGACGGTGGCTGTGAAGATCTGGCGCCCAAAACAGGAGACTTGGTTTATGAGTGTTGGGTTGAAATCTCACTTGGGGGCAGAAGAAGCAGCAGCTTGGTTGCAAAAAAAGATACCGAGCAGAGGTGGGTATTCAGCCGGTTCTGAGCGGTTCTGGAGACCCGGTAGCGGAAATTTTGATTTGTTCGGAGAACGGGCCAATCCCGCCTCTGACTGGCCCCGCCAACCCCATCTCTTCTCTGCCTCCCATTGAGTCCCAGCTGATCGGCTGGGTCTCCTTTGGTTGCCCTGCACAGGAGAACAGAGAGCTGGAAAGCAGGCTAGTGGGGTGGGGAGGGAATGGAGATTTTGGAGTATCCTTCCCCTGCCACGCCTACCAAGCCATGCCCGCAGAACCGGCAGTAAAAAAAAAATTCGAATCCCACCACCGATACCGAGACTAGAAAGAGTTCAGAGAAGAACAACAAAGAAAAATTAGGGGAACTGGAAGTTAGAACCAGGTGAGGAACGTTTTCAGGAATTGAGTCTGTCTAGTTTAATGAAAAGAAGGACTAGAAGGGGTGCCAGTCTGGGTGAGAACAATGCTAAGGTGGCTTTAAGGAGTAGGGGAGACATGATAGCAGTCTTCCAATACTTGAGGGGCTCCCCCGAAGAAGAGGGGGTCAATCTATTCTCCAAAGCCCCTGAAGGCAGGACAAGAAGCAACGGATGGAAACTAATCAAGGAGAGAAGCAACCTAGAACTAAGGAGAAATGTCGTGACACTGAGAACAGCCCGTTCCCTCCCATTGCAGGAACTCTGAACTAATTCTCCACTCAGTGGAACAGAATTTGTGGGTGCTCCATCACTGGAGGTTTTCAAGAAGAGATTGGGCAACCATTTGTCTGAAATGGGGTAGGGTTTCCTGTTCGAGCAGGGGGTTGGACTAGAAGACCTCCAAGGTCCCTTCTGTTATTCCGGATACCTCGGGAGTCTCTTGGACAAAGATCGTAAGCAGGAATTTTTCTCTCTCCAAAGGAAGTGTCCCAAGCTCTTCTATTCTTCTTCTTCTTCTTCTTCTTCTTCTTCTTCTTCTTCTTCTTCTTCTTCTTCTTCTTCTTCTTCTTCTTCTTCTTCT